GAACCTTGCCGCATTTTTTAGAGGTTCCCTCAACGCCAACGATCCTCAACTCTCAACAATCCTCACGGCCCTCAAAGATCCTCGACGTTGACGATCCTCAACAATCCTCGAGGCCAACGATCCTCGACCTCAAGGATCATCAACGATGCTCGAAGCCAACGATCCTCAACGATCCTCCACGCCAACAATCCTCGACCCCCAGCGATGCTCAACGATCCTCGATGTCAACGATGCTCGATGCCAACGATCCTCAACGACGATGCTCAACAGTCTCCAATGCCAACGATCCTCGACATCAACGATCTTCGAGGCCAACGATCCTCAACGATAGTAGAGCTCAAATATCCTCAGCGATCCTCGACGCTAACGATGCTCGGCGCCAACGATCCTCAAACAAATATCGTCTACCTCAGCGATCCTCAACGATCCACGACATCAGCGATCGTCGAGTCCAACGATCCTCAATGATCCTCGACACCAACGATCCTCGAGGCCAACGATCCTCCACCTCAACGGTCCTCAATGATCCTCGACGCCAACGATCGGTAACGATCCTAGATGCCAACGATCCTCGAGGTCAACGATCCTCGAGGCCAACGATCCTCGAGGCCAACGATCCTCGACCTCAACGATCATCGCCAACGATTCTCAACGATCCACCACGCCAACAATCTCGACGCCGACCATCCTCAATCACCCTCCACGCCAACAATCCTCGACCTCAGCGATGCTCGGCGATCCTCATGCCAACGATGCTCGATGCCAACCATCGCCAACGATCCTCGATGCCAACGATGCTCGATGCCAACCATCCTCAACGATCTTCAATGCCAACGATCCTCGACATGAACGATCTTCGAGGCCAACGATCCTCAACGATACTCGACCTCAAAGATCCTCAGCGATCCTCGACGCCAACGATGCTCGGCGCCAACGATCCTCAACCTCAAATATCGTCTACCTCAGCGGTCTTTAACGATCCACGACATCAACGATCCTCGAGGCCAACGATCCTCATGATCCTCGACACCAACGATCGGTAACGACCCTAGATGCCAACGATCCTCGAGGTCAACGATCCTCGACGGCAACGATCCTCGAGGCCAACGATCCTCGACGCAAATGACCTTTCACGTCAAGGACCCTCGACCTCAATGATCCTCAACGATCCCCGACCCAACGATCCTCAACGCCAACGATCCTCGACCTCAACGATCCTCGACCTCAACGATCCTCTACGCCAACAATCCTCAACGATCCTCTACGCCAACGATTCTCGCCCTCACAAATGCTCAAGGATCCTCGACGTCAACGATCCTCCACCATCTTAACGATGCTATACGTCAATGATCCTCTACGATCCTCGACGCCAACGATCCTCAACCTCAACGATCCTCAACGATCCTCGAGGCCATCGATCGTTAACGTCAACGATCATGAAAGATGCTCGACGCCTACGATCCTCGACCTCAGCGATTTTCAACGATCCTCGAGGCCAACGATATTTGACCTCAACGATGCTTAACGATCCTCCAACCCAATGATCCTCGACGCCGACTGTGCTCGACTCCAACCATTCTCAAACGATCCTCGAAGCCAGCGTTCCTCAACAATCATCGAGGCCAACGATCCTAAACGATCCTCGAGGCCATCGATCCTCAACGCCAACGATACTCAACGACCCTCGCGCCAACGATACTCAATACCAACGATCCTAAACGATCCTCGAGGCCAACGATCCTCGAGGCTAACAGTCCTCAGTGTCAACGATCCTCAACAATCATCGAGGGCAACGATCCTAAACGATCCTCGATGCCATCGACCCTCGACGCCAACGACACTCGACGATCCTCGATGCCAACGATCCTGATGCCAACGATCCTAAACGATCCTCGAGGCCAACGATCCTCGACCTCAACGACCCTCGACGCCACCAATCCTCGATGCAAACGATTCTCAATGATCCTCTACGCCAATGATGCTCGACACCAACGATCTTCAACATCAACCTCAACCATACTCAACGATCCTCGAGCCCAACGATGCTCAACGATCCTCGAGGTCAACGATCCGCAACGATCACCAACGACCCGCAACGATGCTCGAGGCCAACGATCCGCGGGGTCAACGATGCTCAACGATGCTCAACGATCCTCAACTTGAAGGTAAGGGTCAGGCCTCAACGAGAAAGATGCCCAACGGTGGTCAACAATACTCGACCTCAAGGATACTCCAGGGTAACGATCCTCGACGTTAACGACGCTCAACGATGACTAACGATGCTCGACCGTGACGATCCGCGATGCTCAACGATGCTAAATTATGCTCAACGATGCTCGACCTCAACGATCCCCGGCCTCAAATATCCTCGATGCCAACGATGCTCGTCAACGATCCTCAACTATGCTCAACGATGTCAATTACGCGACAAGAGGTATGCCGGTTGTCTGATGTCAAGTCAATACATAGCACAGCAGTAGACATCGGTCTCCACCAACTTCAACTCAGGTACGGCCACCAATCTATACTCCAGACAAGATCTCGTATCCTCAATCTCTCATTCCACACCATATTGTAGTATAAGCTCACCAGAATACACTTTATTGTAGTATAGTACAAGGGCGCTTCGCGGCGTACCGCTTCGCGGTCGCCGCTACGCTCGTAGGTTCAATGCCGATGGCAAGTGTGTGCGGGTGGAGTTTTGAAATGAGAGCTACGAAGAAAAAATGCTGCGAAGAGGGAAAAAAATGTTTGTTTGTTCGAAGAGCAGAGACGCACAATGACTATATTCATATATATGTTGTGTTACGCGACGGCCGGAGGACGGAGTATTTAATTGCTCGGAGTAAGAAGTTTGTTTTTCAGAAACAAAGGCTTACTTTCCACGAAAAAAAGTAGGACAATAGGGTTGGTTACGTAACATAATAATAGCTCCACCTAGGCCACACCTATAGAGAAGAAACGTCTCAACAAGAAAACAGAGGAGCGACCCCTAAAATGCTCTACTTATTCAAAGACACGAGAGGGGTTACTGGGGGTGTGTCGAGTAATTAAACTAAGAAAGAAACATCAAGCAACCAGCTTTCCTTTTCTGTCTCTTCCCCCCCTCTCTCCCATCCATGTGCCACCCACCCCCTCAGCGAGACGTTGTAGCTGAATAAAGTTCGCTACTTCTCGGGTGTGCGGTCTTCGTATGTGATCTGATGTACAGCCGTCGGTGATGAGAATCGGGGTTGAGTACGGGAGGCGAGGAAAAGCAGTAGCGCAAATAAATCAATACGTACGTACGCATACCGTAGTTTTTTTAGTTTTTGCAGCACGAAACCACAGAAAAGAAGACAACTTTTCTGCCCATTTCTGCAAAATATGGAAACCCACAGCAGCAGTAGTCTAGTATTTCTTATGTTCTGCTAGAGAGTTTTGGGAGTCAGATGACTGTAGAAGTTCGTGTGTTGGTGTGTGTTGGTGGGTGGGATGCGGAGCATGTCCCGGTAGCCGCTCTACAATAAAGTGCGGTAGGTATCCAGAAGATATTTCCGGGAAAAAAAAAAAGTATTTCCATGAAACGGAGGAACAAACAACGTATTTCATTTTTTTTTTTTCTCGGGCGGGTGTAATTTTGCAGACAGCTGTGCGCACGACACTGGCCGCTAACCCCCCCGCCTTTCGCCTGGATCAAAAGGGAGACGCACTACAGCAGTAGAGTACTTTGTCTCGTCTCATGCGGAGACTTGGTGGCTTGGTTGTCGTGTGTGGCAGGGTGTGTGGTGTGTAGCCAGCGCACACGCACAATCCACGTCAGCCGCTTGCCGAATGTATGTATGAGTGGCCTGCACTGTCAAGAAATCGGGATGTGATTGGTGGATCCATGGTAGATGTCGGAGACGCGACTTTCTGCCCGCGCTAGCGCTGCACGCAGTCCGCCCCGAGAGCGCGCGGCACGCCGGGAGGGCCCTCGCAACACAGGGCTGTCGGTAGGTGCAAGTCTCGTTTCGAGGCGAGGTCAACGGGCGGAGAAACCTCGAAAAAAAGGGCTCTAGGCTCACGAGATCATCAGGATTGCGTTTCCTGCGATCTCGTGAGCCCTCAGCCCGTAGGAAATCCGTCTATAGGTCTATATAGTGTAAGCTCACCAGAATACACTATAGTATAGCATATAGTATAAGCTCATCAGCATACACTATATTGTGGTATAGTATAGTATGTAGTATAGCTCAGCACAATACACTATATTGTAGTATAAGCTCACCAGAATTGTTGTTGTTGTTGTCTTCACAGTAAAAACCGTTCCGATCTCTCTTTACCCAGTAGCTTCATATGTCCGTACTGATCCAACACTTGACGGTCGATTCCCGTGGTCACAGGCGAACTTACCCTAAAAAGGTACGCTCAAACAAACTGGCCCCGAGGGGTCCGCAAGTCAATAGAAATCAACGACAGATGTTCTGGAGTCCTCCGTTCCCTCTGCGCGCTATGCGAGGTAACAACTGAGACTAATAGGAGTCAGCATCATGGGCCAGAGAGAAAGAGGTACACCCCCTTGGTTCAATCTTGGTGATTCACACGCAAGCAGAGACAAGGCCATCTGACACAGAAAAAGAGAGAAAAATGAGCGACAAAGAGAAAAAAGAGAACAAGAGAAAAAAAATAAAAGGAAACACGAAGAAAGGAGAAAAGAAAACGAAAAAGAAAAAGAGCGAGGACAAAAAGAGACCAGGCCGAAAATAACAAGAAACAAGAGACAGAATAAGGCACACGGTGGAGAGACCACTAACGAACGAACAAGCAAAAAACATGGCCACCAACCAGCGATACATGGTAATGGTACGTCATCACTGGTGGGGGGTTGGTGCAATGGTGCAGCGTTGGGGGGGGGGGGATTGGCTAAAAGAAATTCAATCCGGCACGTATCACGCCACCTGGTCCGTCTCTTCTCGTTTGCTTCCTTCCCTCGCCGTCCCGTCCGTCTCCTGCCCCCCTCCCGCCCCATTGGTTGTTGGTTTGTGGTCTCGTTTGAGCGCTTGTTATCGGCTGGCCTCTTCTTCCTTCTTGTGCCAGGAGGTCATGAACCTCTCAGCTCCCTGCAGCACCGCCGCATGCCAGGGTACTCCCCCCTCCACCTTCGTGACTTCCGTCCACTTTAACTTCGGTGCCGTGTCTTTCGGTACCGGGATTCCGAGACAACATGGATCGGTTTTCGTAGATCCGTGGTCGGCCCCGAGTGCCTTCAGGTCGTCGAGCACACACTTCGGCCAGTTCTGTTCCTGTCCCCCCCTACGTCGCTTCTCCCCCCCCGCCAGTTCGCCGAACATCGGTCGTTTCGGGAGTCGCCCGTCCGGCTGCCTTGCCAATGCTCCCGCGAACAGTAGGCGCCGTGGTTGGATCGTGGCTTCAACGCTCTGGCATCCGACCCTCTTCAGCGTCTGGACGTAGGAAAGCTGCCGGTAGGTGTCTTTCTTGCGCTTGTACCCGATAACTCGAAGGAGCAGTCGGTGGTGTATCGACCGCAGCGTCTGGTAGTGGCGCCTGAGTGGTGACCATGTCATGCAGCCGTACAGCAGTGCCTCCATCGCCTCCGCCTAGAGGAGGCGGATCTTGAGTCGGAATGGCGCTTTCGGTCTGTCGAAGAGCTCCCGGCCATATCACCTGAGGCACGCCCACGCTCCTCTGCTCCTGTAGTTGATCTCCCGGGTGAGGTCACCATGTTCGTTGACGAGGCCACCGAAGTACCGGAACTCGGTCGTCTGGGCGTATTTCTGTCCCGCGGCTCCGACGGTCAGCGGTGGAGGCGGGGGGGGCTGTGGTGTTGTAGTCGGCTTGTCCTTCGCGCGCATCAGGAGTGTTTCCGTCTTCTTCTCCGATACCGTCAGCCCGAACTCCCGGAGCACCTCAACGATGATGGTCATCATTCTCGCCAGTCCTTCTGCAGACCTCGATACGACGCCGGCATCGTCGGCATATAGCACCCCCCATACTGCCCTCCGTACTCGGTCAAGGGGTGTCTCCTCCGCCCCCCCCGCTTCCGTCTTCCCCTCCTCCAAGCACACCAGGCTCCGCAGAACAACATCATCCTCGCTGAATCGGATGACAACGACCTCGAGGACCTCGGCGAAGAAGATGTTGAACAGCAGTGGGGATAGCACACATCCTTGTCGCACGCCCTGTGTCACGAAGAACCAGTCCGATAGTTCTCCGTGGTCCATGCGCACCCGGGCCCGCATTCCATCGTGGAATAGGCGAATGACTTTGATCAGCTTCGCGGGAATCCCGGCCCTGGCCAGCACTTTCCATAGCATCTCTTGGTCCACCGAATCATACGCCTTCTTCCAAGTCGACGAAGCACATGTAGAGCGGTATTTTCTTTCTCCGCCCCAGCTCCTGGAGGCGGCGCACGACGAACAGCATGTCGACGGTGGATCGCCCGGGTCGAAATCCGCACTGTTCCTCCGGGAGGATGTTGTTGGCTTCGCAGAAGGCGCTTAGACGGTTGGTGATGATCTTGATGGGGACCTTGCTTACGTGAGATAGTAGCGAAATCCCCCTGTAGTTGTTACAGTTGGACAGGTCACTCTTTTTGTACAACACCTTGATGGTTGCATCCTTCCACTCTTGCGGAGTATCTCCTCCGTTCCACACCTTTACGAGGATGGTATAGAGGTGCCCCAGGACGAAGGGTTCGTCGTCATCGGTCTTGAGCAACTCGGCAGGGAGGGAGTCATGGCCGGGTGCCTTCCAGTTCTTGAGGCCTTTCGTTGCCCGTTTCACCTCCCTGAGTTCCGGCACCTCTCCCAACTGTTTAGTGTCACGTGTCGCTGGCCGCTGCGTCACTCGTTCGATGATGTCTGGGTTCAGGGTAGGGGATTGGTGTTGAGCAGGGTGCTGAAGAATCTCGCCCACCGCTGGAGGATGTCGTCCCTGTTCCGGGGCAACACGCCGTTCTCATCCGCTGCGAACTGCTGTCCCCCCGCTTCTCTCCCGCTGAGGTCCACTGATCTCTTGAGGTGGTGGTACAGTCCTCGCATGTCGCGTTCTTTGTAGATTGTTTCGAGTTCAGTCACATATCCGGCCAGGTGGGCATAAAAGCCGGTTTCGACTGTTGTAGCCATTCCCTTACACTCTACTTTCAGAGCCCTCCACGTTGCTGAGTTCCAATTGCCCCTCATCGCTCGGCGCGCTTCCCGCCGTTTGGTAAGGTCCTCCTCCAGCACTGCTCTCGTCTCTGGGGTCTCACACCACTCCTGCGTGCGGCGTCTCCGCGGTTCCTCCCCTAGGGTCGTCCGCGCTGCTTCGAGGAGAGCATTGGTAAAGCCGGTCGCCAATTCCGCGGCGGTGGTTGTTCGCTTGTCCAGTCGTGTGTCGAGGTTGAGGAGAAACCAATTAGTCACCGCACACCGTGCTGCTTCGAACTGCAATTCCCTTCGGTTGAATTGCTTCTGTTTCGGTTTAGTTCGGACTGCAAGGTTGTGGGCAAGCCTGCCACCGAGGATGACGGTGGCTACTACCATATTGTGGTCTGAGTCTGCTTTGACTGGGCGAACCGGCTGGGGGATGACAACCACGGTAGATACTCGGCCGTGATGTGCCTGCCTTGTCAGGATGCAGTCAAGGCGCTTGCAATCGGTTGCCGACACACCGTTGTATGTGTGCCATATTCCGCCGTCGCGTGTCTCAAAGAACGTGTTCGTGAGAGCTAGCCTGTTTTCCGTTGCGAAGTTCAACAGTAGCTTTTCACTGTCGTTGAGCTCATCACGCCCGTACATTCCTATTACCCTTCCGCCCCCTCCGTCCAACCTATCTCCCGTCCGCGCATTGGCGTCCATCAGGACATACACACATTCTTTGGAAGGGGTCCTCCGCACGAGACTGTCAAGTTTCCCCCAGAACACGCGCTTGCTGTCTGCGGTTGAAGGTTCGGTTGGAGCATACGCGGCTACGAAGTTGACCGCTCCACGGTGGCCTGCCAACATAAACCTCATGGCCATAAGGCGTTCGTCAATAAACTCCGTAGTGAACGTGGATGTCTTGCACAGTTACTCTTTGACGGCTATCCCCACACCATGTGCTCCACCAGTCTCCGTGCCACAGCAGAACACCCGGAAACCCGCTGCTGCAAATTCCGTTCGACCTGCCCTCCGTGTCTCCTGTATTCCTACCACCGATACGTCTTGCCTCGCTGCCTCGTGTAGAACGCTGTAGGCTCGCCCGTATCCATTGGCCCCGTTTACAGCCAAAGTCCGCACATTCCAGGTTGCTACCCTAAGAAGTTGACCCTGCTGTCTCTTTCACGCGGCGCGCGCTGCTCTCTTAGCTAGCCTAAGCGCCGCCCGACCCCTCCTTTTCCTCCATCTTCCCCTCTTTTTTTGTTTTTTTGCTATTTTCTTGCGAACACTCGGGCTATCGTGATAGTTACCCCGGTTCTTGCCTTGTTTCCCATAGAGTTGTCTTCTTGTCCCGGAGCGGTGTGGCCCTCCATCTCTGGACTCTCTCCTTTCCTCTCTCTGGGGCATACCCCCACGGCGTGCGGTCACTCTGCCACCCTCACCGTGCTCTCCGCTGCTGCATGGCCCCGGTGTCTAAGCCGGGGCGTTAGGATCTAGTCTCATTTTGCAGCTACCAAAGCTGGCGGTTCACGAGCTACCCCAATCTCACGACAGCAGTAACTCCCAACCGCCAAACTCAGGATCCCCCTCCCAACAGTGCTAGGGACCATATACCCGTCTTTGCTGGGTGGTCTTTCGAGGTCTAGATCCACTTGCGGAACCTCGGCCTACCCCAGGGACGGGGGGGGCAGGCCGGGGAGAAGATATATACAGTTCAGTATAGTATAGTATATAGTATAAGCTCACCAGAATAGTACGCGCTTGTTCGTCGGAGACGGTGGTATCGTGCTCCCTGACTCTGTCCAAAACCAACTCCAGGGCGATGGCATCCTGCGGTAAATCTTGCGCCAAGTCCTGCGCGAGACATCGAGATCCCCAAGGGTGGATGAGCAGCACCACCACCGACACAAAAACACGGGCCGACGGGTGCAGCACAGGGCGAATCGCCAGCGTCGACATTGGAATTTATGTTTCCGACATGCCGCAGGAGTGCAAGAAAAAACTGACTGCACTCGGTGCTTTGGCGTGGACTATACAAGGGACACAAGGGACACAAGGGACACTGCTGAAAACAAAGACAGACAAGATGCAAGAGGGTTGAACAGATCGTTGTGTGCCACTCAGACGTTGTAGACCAAGACTTCAGACCGAAAGACTTCTACCAGTACCAAGCCGAAGCATCGTTCGTGCGCCATGGCAAGACTTCAGAAAGACTTCCGCCATATTTAGAGTGCTACCAGTGCCAAGCCGAATCATCGATCGTGCAATACTACAATGCTGTATTAATGCTGTGTTGTAGGGTTGTCTTGTCTCGTCTTGTCTTGTCGTAGGATGCTTCGTCGGGGATAGGCCGCAATCACATAGAGCAATCTGTTGCAAGTGCATCGTCCGTACGATTGAATTGAAATGAAAAAACGGCTGGCGCTTAACCTTACCAACCTTCGCTATTGTCCCTCTCCTTGGTTGTCTCAAGCGGTTCCGCTTCTATTCTGCATACAAGACCAACGTTCTTGCATTTCGTTCAATCGTTGTTTGCATACTCCGTATTCGTTAGCTTGCTTGCCTGTGTGAAGACGCCAATCTTGAGCCCTTCCCCCTCCTTCCTTTCCCCCGCAGAAAGAGGAAGAATTCCCGCCAGCGCCTTCAGAAGGGTAGATTTACCCGCACCGTTGGGACCAAGAATTGCCAACGTTTGTCCCTGTTGCGTTGAGTAGTATGGATACCATCAGGAAAAACAGTGGGCCGAGCTTGAGATTGTCTCTACACCAGGATGCCATGCAGACCACCTCGACACACCTTCTCTGGAACCAAGACAAATATGTCAACGAGTCAAAAATCAAGATATGCTGTACACCAGACGTAGGAGAAAAGGCCTCAGCACAGCAAGGTGAAAAGAAGGCGCGTCCTTACATCACCATCCCCCTCACTACCTGGATGCTTATCTCTGTCTTCGAATCCTCACCTTTTCCAGCTTGAGGTTAACGCCCGTGGCTGTCGGCGGTGCATCTCCCCACCCGAAACTCGCACCCTTCAACTCGATCTACACGCAGCCACGCAGGCATCGAGCAGTTGTTTGTACAGAGAGCGTCCGTAGATAAAGTATGTTAAGAAAAAAGGTTCAGGCTCACGTTTTTACGAACACTAAGAAAAAAGGGCTAAGAAACATAGCTCACGTAAGAACGCCCCAATAAGAAACATGATGGTGCGATACCCCCATGACATCAGAAATCTTCGGTGCTCCCACCCCCGTACCTAGCGGAACAGAAGTGCATGTTTTTTTGTAGGGGGCAGAGTGGTTATTTTCGCGCCGCCACCCCCGCCCCTGCTGTTCACTGCTGTGCTGTACTGTAGTACTGCCACACATGACGGACAACCATATGCTCTCCGCTGTATAGTAGTACGTAGTACGGGTTTGAGGGCTTTATGAATTGACAAAGTGGATTGTCCTCAGAGATAGAAAAACAGAAATAAGAAAATACGAAGTACTTCTCGGGAATAAGAGAATCGGGAGGATGCGACAGCAGTCCAAAGGAATAAGAACTGCCATTTAAGAAGAAAATTGACGACTTGGGCCGGTCCTTTGACCCAAAATAAGGGATTGAGGCTCGACCCGATTTTGACGTTTCTTGACTGCGGGCGCTATCTGTACAACGACAGGCAGCAGCAGCACAGCAGTCACAGCAGTTAGCGAGCTGGACCATGCCAGCACCCTCAGCAACACGGTGCAGGAGCGCCTCAGCAGCCCAGCAAACCACCACCCCCACAGCACGGCCAACACGAGAGCACGTGGAACTACCAAATGGCAGAAAAGCAGGCTTGGCGACGAGAGTGCTGCCAACGGGCCGTAACATGCGGTTAGTGCCGCTTTGAACGCTGCAAGCACGTGTTTGGTGTGGATATCTTGTTCGTGTGATGTAAACTATATAGGATTACTTATTACCTGGTTGGTGTGGCAAGCCGGCGGCGTCGGCAGTCTCATCTTGGCCCTGAAGGACGATTTTCCCTCGGGCAAAGGCGTGGCATTGGCCTCCATCTTCTGCAACATCTTCACCCTCGACTGTGCCGCAGACGCCTTCGTAGCCTATTGTTACGTTTAAATACACGCGCATGCGTTGTACATGTCGTGGGTCACCCACACCGTCTTCTGTTTGCAATCAGCGCGGTTTCAGAGCTAATGCTGTTGTTTCTTGTTCACGAAGGATCCCAATGTTGCCTGGCCCTCAACGTCAAACTCAATGTTCGACGCAGTCGTGTTATCAAGCTCACGTTGTCTACCGTAAGTTGCACGAAAACAACCTCAAACCGAACGGAGACTTTTGCACGTCCAAGTCTCTACAGAGTGATTCGACATTGAACAGCAGTCAATAGTACTTGATGTTGGCGATAGACATATACATCATAGCTTACGTTACAGTAGTGCGCACTTTGTATGTAAGGCCGCATAGTGCCAAAGGATTTGGCCGGCCTTACGCCGGACACCCGGCATTGATTATTCAGACTACGAGACGAATTGGATATTCCATCTGTGCCACATGATTCCACCTGCCATTTACAGGGCGACTGGTCTTACACGGGGACTACTATTATATGAAGTTGAGAACAGAGGTTGAAGGTTCAATATCACGGAAGTAGTAGATAGCGGTCAAACTGGGAGCGACGACTGTTGTCCACTGCTACTGAGCTTATCTGCTGCTATTGCTGCTGTTGCTGGTAGCATTATACGATACTAATACGCGCCTGTGCCCCAAAGCGATCGACGAAGCCTTGCAGGCGAGCCATCTCCTTCTGCTCCGCTTCGTACTTGCTCTTCAAAGCCCTGAAACGAACAACATAACAAAGTCACCACAGAGGAAAACGAAAACAGCTAAGACTCGCACTTGAGAGAAGCAAGAACATCAACATCAACATCAACATTGCATGAACCGCGAGGTGAAGCGGTGGAAAGGACGAGAGTGGCCAGGGCCAGCGACACCGATACTGTTCTAAACATACGTACATAGTGAGAGAGAAAAAGCTGTTATCAACCACGGCAACGGGCAGCACACCGAACCAAAAGGAGGAGGGTGAAAACAGACATGATACACATACACGCGCAGAAAAATTAGAGCTCGGCACGCAACAGGGCAGTCATGGGGCACAGCAGACAGCTTTGCAGCACGGCAAACATCAGCAACAACAACAGCAACAACAACAACAACACAATCCACGTTGCATTAATGATCTAGGCTCTACAAGATACAGACCACAGCCTGAAAACTGGCGACTAGTACCAGCTCGACCTTCGCTATAATAAAGCTAGCTCCCTGAAGACTATGTTGACAAATCAGCTGCTGCATCAAGCTTGACCATCTCCCATCGGTGTTTTTGCCGGACACTACCAAATGATGTACCATGCTACCGCGACACTCACCCGAGCACAACCATCTTGCGATTCCGGGTAGGGAACACTCGAGCTGAATAATCAATAGTACATGTCCTGAGTGTCTTGGCTGAGACACCGCCCAGGCAACAATTTTGTGAAGACTTGGGTTGCTTTCCTCGTATGCTACACTGTTGCAATAACACGCACCAAACAATGATCGAGTTTTGATTGGCTCACCTCATTCGTTCGTCCCTTTCGAAGAGGAACTTCTTGAAGCCGCACCCTTTGAACACCTCGACCCTTTGATTGGCCACCTCTGCCACTGTGGACAGCTTGATCCCCTCCAATAACGCCTCATCGTGTGAAACCGTCACGATGGTGCCTTGGTAGTTGGACAAAAACCTTCCCAGCCAGGTCTGTGGGAAAAGAAGGGAGTACGAACGGCAGCGAAGAGAGGGAGTACGTGAAGTGCAAACACATCGATAAGAAGGAATTGACACAAAAGAGAGAGAGATAAAATTTACATGAACAGGAAGTGAAGGAGAGAGGATGCAATAGAAGGACAGAGCAAGCAAGACACAGATAATAGAGAGGACAGCCGGAGGAATGGATTGACATACATAAACGGAGAGAGGGAGAGATAGAGAGCCTCTCAGCGCCAACCACCGACGAATGCCGCTGGGAAATGTCTCAAGCAGGCAGCAGTGTACCTGTAGCGCACGTCCAGGGAACACCATATCAACCCCAAAAGCGAGAGTGTTGTACCCGCTAGCAAACAGTTTTCGCCCACCTTTGCCGCGGCGTCAAGGTGGTTGGTAGGCTCATCCAACAAAAGCAGGTCGGGCTCCGACAACAACAGCTTCGCCAGAGCAATGCGCATCTGCCAGCCCCCGCTGAAGGTCGAGCATAACCGCTGCTGATCCTGGGCACTGAACCCCAACCCGCCCAGAATCTTGCGCGTAGTACCAGCAACCGCAGCGACAACCACACATTGGATAGGGGCGCCGGAAGAGAGATCAGGCCGGGGCATGGTACATGGTACAGGTGAAAAACGGACACGCGACATATCAGAACAGCTGGGGAGCAAAGTAAGATGAGGCGTGCATGTCTAGAGGGAGCGGGTGCAATTCACTACAACACGAGCACATGAATAGGGGAGTGTGCTCCAGGCGGTCCTCCTACTTGTTTTCCTTTGCTCGGACCTTAAACGTTGCCCTGTTGAAGCCTTACCGTCCGTGGCGTGGTGTGGAACGCCTGTCCGAGACAACCGTTGTGCTCGTCGGTAGCAGTCGCCTCCGACGAATGTCTAGGCAATGCATGCCGTCCCCAACACTACGCATGCAGTTGTTTTCCCGCCAATCAAACACGATACTACTGTGTATGGTATGCGCAACCAATCACGATATTCTACGTGCAACTACAAGCTGCAATCACGAAGTGCTTGGTTCGCCACTCAACCTCCACCTGTCCCTCAACCCGGCGGTGCCCTGCCTACCAGTAGTAGAACAAGCCACTATACCTTCGCGACCGAGCACAGACATGTCATACGTACGAATAATGTTGTTGCCTACAACTTAGTTATTTTGCTGTTGACAGCAGCAGCATACCTGGGCCACAAGCCTATCTTGTGTCAATCCTCCGACCGCCTCGTAAGTGGCCTGGGCCTGCAATAGTCTGTCCAGCGCTTTCTGGTTCATGGGGTCCTCGATCACCTTCGCCTCGGCCCTCTCCATTGCCGCGTGGGCCCTATCGCATTACATTCAATGTCCCTATTGTTAACTTTATAGTGCTATGTGGTGGGCAGACAAATGCGACTGGCCTCACTACTGAGGTCGGGGGATTGCAGTGTCGCCGAAACCAGCACCGAGAGATTTTGACCCAGACACGTCCGAGTCTCCGCACTATTGTGGGACTTTCACTTCGACAGAGTAGCAATATTGAGGGCCCCTGCCAGTAACACAATCAACGTTTACGTGTCACCTAAACCATGAAACTATAGGTTAGGTTTGGTTATGGTACCCCCGGATACACATGTCGCGAATATCACGAGAAATCGTGCATCAGACGTCACACGAGCAAAGACCGAGAGTGCCTCTCCCTCCCATTACGCCTATCGCACATCCAGTTCATTCGCTAACCATACACGCAGCATCAGTCTTCGCATTCCACCGTCTGTAGGCTAGAGAACGGTACGGTACTCACTGGTTGATGGTATCCATCTCCGAGCACGCCTCCTCGTAAACGGTCCGACTAGATCCGCTCACGCCCTTCTGCTGCAAGTACCCTGCGCAAGGGTTACGGTAACGATTGGCACTATATAAAGCGTAGGTGAAACAAGCCACTCAACCCTTCAGCGTATAGAGGCTTGAACAGACTCGAAGCACGGCCAGTATCCGGCATTTTTTTTTCCAAACTCACGTGAAGACAAGACATCCCTTCATTATGGGGGCTCTCTTGAATGGGTAATTTTTGAGTGATATCATACGGATGTTATGAGGTTTGCCTTCTAAGCGGGAAAAGCACCTTCAAGTCGAGCCAGCAGTCAAACCAAGACCTATCGGAACTCGCCACGATTTAATCAAAAACTTTTCGGCGGCGCCAACGGGAAGACAAGTCCTACGTGTTCCCGCGTCCGATTTGCCAACCCCACCCGGTGTAAGTTCAGTCATATCGTCGGAACGTATCCTCAAAGGAAAAATGTCTCTACAAAACGGCACACACGTAACACCGAGGACTACCAAGCAGGAGAAAGAAGCCTTAAGACTTGGCAAGGGGAGTTCTCGATTCAGAGGGGTGCGACACAAGCATGCGAGCGCCAACCACGCCAACGAAAACGTTGAGGGGGTGAGAGCGATTCATCAGCGTCAATAACAACGAGGTCAACACATTATGACCCAACCCAGAACTCCAAATACCGTCGTGCGGTTGAATCCCCTGAGAACATAAGGCACGTTCAAAACAAGCATCGGAAAATTGACGATACATCCAGCTATCAGCTATGGTGATGCGTGTCATCAAGACACACGTCTGCTTCAAGACACTGCTGTCAAGGCAATGCGTGCAGAGAATAACGCCTCTTATAGCAGCGGCGATGCGCTTGTCTCGCTTTCCAATCAGGCAGTCCAGCACTCCACTCACCCATCCGTGCACCGGTCTTGACAACACAAGATCCCTCGTCCATCGGGCGATAGCCCGCGATACACTGCAAGAGAGTCGACTTCCCCGCGCCATTTTGACCCACGAGCCCCACGCGGTCGCCCGGCATTACCGTCAGGTCCACGTTCGACATGAGTTCTGTTGGAGAGGCAAGGGGAGGGGAGGAAATCACGAGAGAGATCGTTGGCGGTGTGGCGGTTGTATCTGGAAACGAGGGAAACGCTTGTACTGCTGCAAGAATCCAACTAGACGAATGACGACTACAATGTACTGCAGAGTAGCGTGGTGAGATCTTCCCGTATACTGAGTAATCAGAAGACGGCCAAAGGAGGGAATCCGGTACGATTTTTTTTGCCATGCATGTCTTGAGCTTTGGAAATCAGCCAGGGGTTATCCAACGTTCACGCTCCTCAACTTTAGACTACATATGGGCCAGCATTCAGTGGGGGGCTCAACTAGCCGGCATGTGCCCGGCGCATCGGCCGGCGCTATTCCAAGTACATAATGGCTTGGTGTCTGTACCCAGCAACTTGACCGGTGCTATACACGGCCACGGGCACAGTAGTGCAACCGGCGTGATGTAGTGAGCCCTCCCGACAGCTGTACCTTTTTCAGGCCCATAACGATGATACTTCAGTATGTTCCTGTTGACAACTACAGCAACTCCGCATCACTTCCCTCTGTTTTAAACGTAAATCACCAGCATCGAATCGTTATGCGCACCTGTGTCTCCCTGAGATACCACACACTGGTTCAGTACCACCATAGCCCCGCCCGTGTACCCAAACGTGGGATTTGCAACCTGGTTCGAACATTCAAACACGGCAAAGGGATCACAGCGCTTCAGCAGTTTCATCGCATGGATGGATAGTTGATGAGGCAATGCGGGCTGCTCGTATGCAGTACATGTAGCTCAAACCAACCAATCTTAGTGTCATCATCAGCAGTCACAGGAGTACGTTGCACATCGCAGCGATCGACCTTAGTAGAGGTGTCGTTACCAATGACCAATGACAGTAGTTTCAGCTGGACTCACAGGTACGATTGCAAGACAAGCATGTGTAGGTGAAAGAGTCACGTCGGTATTCTATGTAGCTCTGAGGTGCACCGCTGCTCAAGAAACAGGTATGTAATAGCTGACATGCGAAGCAACTCGCCGGGCACCAGTTGAATGAGTACGCAATGCTCCCGAGTGAGCTACATAGAGTGTGTCACCGTCTCTTCGACAAACGCCAACCTGGGGGCGTGGTTCGCTCAATGACACAAGCAAAAGTCTTGAGGTCTTGGGTCTTGACGCAGTAAACGTCAGCATGGGACTGCGGTAGGCTACAACCAGGGGAGCAGCAGCAGTCAGTAGTGCCACAAAGACACCGTGAGTTTAAACGCACCTCGTCATCCACCGCGGGAGAAGACTGCATCCTCAACCTTGATCTTCGATTGTGACAGCTTCCACGCGATGATCGTTGACGATAGCTGATCGAGGTCACCCGCTGCACCGCCGTGTACTTGTCGTTTGGTGCTGTGGTGGTACGACGTGCAACAACCGCTACCGGTGTCATGAAAGCCTTGCAACTTAACAGCAGCATCAGCGCCAGCACAGGAGTCAGCATCGTAGACATTCTCACAGGCTTCATCGAGGACTAGATGTGTGTGTGTGTGTGCAAGCCAGCACACGGTCGGAGGTGCAAGCTCCCCTTAGTGGTGGTGGCGCTCTCAGGCTTTAGTCGTCTGTGTTGTCGCGTTGGTTGTCGCGCGGATCACCTGTGGGCGACCCCACAGCCAGGCCACACGCGTATACGGATGTTGAACCACTTTTCGATTTCTAAGCTGTGTGCCCCCCGATAAGTTGGTTGGTACCTATGATAAGGTTGACCCCTCACTGGCTCACTGCTGGATAATCTATCCACAGAGGGTTCCTCTGCTCCTGTGCATCAGGCCTGGTCGCGTGGCCAGCGTCTCTCATTACACGACGGCTGGTTCCAGACGGACGGCAGGAGAGACTCATCTACCTCTGTAGTCCAGGCGCGCCGTCGGGCAACGCTACAGGAGGAGCGGATTGGGCTAATAAAAGAAAAGTTCCGCTTTGCGTGGAAAGCGAGATAGATGACCCTCTCCTCTCCCACAACCACAGGCCTTCGGCTGCCGCCATGGGCTCGCTGCTTCGCTCTTGCTGGTCTCTCGCTACTCACGCGGAGCATGCCTTCGTGCGCGGGCTTGGAGGTGCTTGAGACGGTCATTGATCGCGATGGTGATGTTCTTGTGGTGGAGGATATTTTGGAGGGCTTTGGCAGGGTACCCGTGTCGGTGGCGTTCTCGCCCACGACAACTCACATGTTCATCGGATTCAAAGCCGGAGGAGTCAGGATATACCCCGAGGGAGGAGACACCCTGGTGGCAGCCATCTACGACGACTGCGTGGACATGGAGGACGAGGTGAGACAGGCATTCTTGTTAGCGCTTGGTTTGTTCGTTCGTGTTTTGAAAAGATTGCATCGGATCGAACGAATCTGAAAAATGGCAAACACAGCGGACAGGAGAGAAGAAGACATACTGCTGCATGTACGCACACCGGAGTATCTTTGGCCGTCTCAGAGAATTAAACGTTGAGAAAAGTGGAGCGCACTAACAAAACCGTTGTTGCGTAATAGAAGCATGAGTGCACGATTGGTTGGGAAAATAGGCGAGCGGCACGGGTGCTCTGCTGCAGCCGCAATCATCGCGTCTCCGCGTTGAGTCAGAATTTCTTCGTTTTTTGCCGTAGTTTGGGCGAAACACCGGTAGATTACCGGACACGGGAACAAGACGTTTGATGCCAAGCAGCAGACAGGGCGCGGCCGCTTTTGTCAAGATGTGGTTTCCTCAACGGAAATTTGAGTTACGTACGTGATGCAAAGTCGCATGCATGTGCATACAAAACAATTAAGGAATAATAAAAACACACACAGAAAGACTACCCATTCGAGATATACCCAATGTGAGGACTCTGTACTCGCTCTCTTGATTTCATTGAACATAATATACCAACCCTGCCCACACATCATGCGGAAAACCTAGATCTAAAGGCGTGGCAGCTACTTGTAGCATAGGTATCTACTTAAGTACTGCTGTAGCTGCCTAACGTGCGTTATTGAGATTCGTTGCAACCTGTCCATCTGTTGACCCCCCGCGACCTTCTATTTAGCGAATGAGAAGCATATTCCAAGACTGTTTGTCCACAGTAGCACTTGAGCGATGGTACGAAATGGACAGCAGTTCGGTCACCGTTTCAACAAACCTCGTCCAACCCCGAAGCCTCAGTGCCCCTGGAATGGATGTTCAGTTGCAAGTTGGAGGTTGTCTCTGAGACGAGCAACGACTCTTGTTCCTCTCTGTTTTTGTTTTTTTTTGTATGTGTGTGTGTGTGTGACACGTCCTTACTTGTGTGTCCTACTTAATCCTACTTCCTCTGGCGGTAGGCTTGGCGAACAAAAGGAAAGGCAGAAAAACAGGCAAAGATACCCCCTGAATAGCAGTGTATACGACGTCACTTTGCTATGGTGTATGCCTACAGTATGACGCTAGTACTGGCGGTGCACTCTCAAGACCCGTGCCGACAATGAAAAGGCATCCGTATCCTGGTTCTGCTGTAACCGGTGCTATTTTCTGAGAAGCGGTATATTCATTAGCCCGTCCTCATATTTGCTTTGTTCCGTCAAGGCAGAAAAACAGGCAAAGATACCCCCTGAACAGCAGTGTATACGACGTCACTTTGCTATGGTGTATGCCTACAGTATGACGCTAGTACTGGTGGTGCACTCTCAAGACCCGTGCCGACAATGAAAAGGCATCCGTATCCTGGTTCTGCTGTAACCGGTGCTCTTGACTGAGAAGCGGTATATTCATTAGCCCGTCCTCATATTTGCTTTGTTCCGTCAAGGTACAGCAGTACGCTATTTCGAACCCACGTTTGGGCTAATGGGTATGGGTAGGTAGAGCAGTAACTACTGCTGTCCTTCTGATGTCGAACCATGCAATTAATTATAGCAGTATTCATGTATTCATCTTCTACCCACAACCGGCAGAACAATCTGACCTCTCGATTCGCAGCAGTCACAGAGAACAGCCATGGGTTCATGGGTTCAGAAGTAGTAAGTGTCTATTTTATTTCACTAAATGACAAAGTTCGATCTAACTCCGCTCTCCGTTTGAATGGTTGAATGGTTGCCGCAACCAACAGGTGTACGAGAACAACGATCTGGGCCTGCTGAACTTCCAGCTGCACCCGGACTGGCCCGCCAGCCCCTACGGGTACATGCTCTACACGCACGACCCCGGGTAAGCATTTGGCATTGCTTCATTTCTTCATCCCTGCTTATGGGTACACAACGTGCGATGGTTACTTGTCTGGATTGTGATGAATCGGTCTCTGGTCCATGGGTGCAAGACCTGCGTCGCAGCAGTAGAGATGGCGTGCGGATGTGCGGATGTTTCGTATGGTGTGCGGCACGAGTTCGAGTGTGTCCGTCGGTATTTGTGTTGTTTCTGAACGGGCACAGTCTAAAGTGGCACCGCTGCGATTTTTTCTCTTGACAGTAGCAGTGCTCTGGTTGCCATCCGCATTCCTTCGCTCACTCTCACTATGTAGTTGAGGTGCTTGTGGTGCTTGTGCGGGACGTCCTTTTCCCTGCAGGGCACGACGCGAGACGTTGTAGACCACTATCATACAATGTAGCGTGGCTTTGCTTGTCTGCATCGATCGTGTTTGTTGATTCACCTGCACAGCAGTACAAAGGTTGAGATCAGTCACATGGGGTGCTGGGCACCAGGGTTGCGCACTGCGGTACGTTTACGTGTTTAGAAAGTAAATGTTTATTGTTCCAAGCTCTTTATGTCGTCGCAGCCCGAAACGCGTGAGAAAAACGCAAACAAGATGATGTGATGTGCGATGGGATGCATGCCTGCAGTACGTGGCCATCTGCTGCTCTTCTGAAAGAATAGAACGGTAAACTTTGAGTGTACCAACGAGCGCGTTTGTGCATTGCTCAAGTTGCGCCGCTGCCACGGTTCGTGATGAAGCTATTTAGCGAGACATCCTCTCGGAATTCTTGTGCCCATCTCCCATCTCCTTTGTTCTCTTGCCGCTGCTGCTGTGCTCTTGCCTAATCGACGGTCGACTCCAACAGGTACGAGGACGACTGCCTCGTGGAGCCCTTTTGGTGCGAAAAGGACCACCGTCTTGTGCGAGTGGAGGTAAATCTGAACGAGGCTACCCAAGGCGTTACGTGCGGCGCCCAAGAGATCCTCATCAACGATTGGTGCACGGGTTCGAACCACCACGGGGGAGGCGGTATGTCCTTCTTGAGCAACGGCGACATGGTGCTGACAGTGGGGGATATGTCCAAGGTGAGAAACAGAACACCAACACCACGGCCATAAGTTTTCTTCCTCACGCGACAAGCCGTGAAATGGGCTTGAGCGTGGCGCGAAATTCTCTCGTAACCCCCCCCCCCCCCCCCCCCAGCTTTTCCTCCTGGTATGCCTATGATGGTTGGCCACACCCCGCCCCTGTCTCCC